TTATCAGGCACAAAGAGTTCTGAAATTGGATAGATCCTACAGCATCAGATTGGATTTGTAGCTTCTTCTGCATACGCCACTGGCATCATGCATAGGTACACTCTTGAGCACTACGATATTGCATTTTACTCAGGAAGGGAGTGAGCGTTCGCATTATACATCGAGCCATGCTGTGTCTCGCGTTAATAGCAAAATGCGACTTTGTGTTCGGCAGCGAACTCTGAGCGAGGAAGATGAGCAAAGCGCGCAGCGGGTCAATGCATCGTCATGCATTAATTTATGATATTGCAGTTTCATGTATAATATAAAGTTTGATATAATTTGTAATATATCAATCATTTTCTGCCACGTTAATGCGACGCCGATCTTCGAAACAAAAACATAAAGTTACAAAGAAAAGATTATTCGCAATTGTATGTGCTTGGCTACATTTGAATTTGACTCTTACGCGATAATCTTCTTGAGAGGAAGACTTTAAATGAGTCGTCCTGTATACTAACATGGTGCGCGTATGTACTTACATAAGTACCGTGGCTCACGCGCCCAATATTAAGTATTCCACTCGCATTACCTCCCCCTGAACAGAAAGTTACATACTTCTTCGCCTTATACGCGATGGCAGTGCTGTGCAAACTTAATTAGCGACTTCGCCGGCGGCGGACGTCGTAAAGAAAGACGAGAAAACCCGCGGCTGCCGTGAGCACAGAAGATCTCCGCCCGGAAAATTGCACGCCCATTTTCTGTGAGCTGGGAATCTCTCTTTAAATCGTACAATCGGAGATGAGGATTTAGCGACTTTTTTAAAACGATGAGAATTCACACAACGATTACGGTAGAGCCTGCAAAATTAGGTTGCGTTTCGAAGTCGTTATGCACGTAGCGTGAACAGTGCTTTATCATCGGTCTTTGAAAATTTATGTGATATAAATGGATTAACTAAAATTCCACGACCGATCCATAACTCGTTTAGCTAGAATCGCCAAAGGTGCTTTCGGACCGATTAATTTTAGCGCCATTTAGCCAGGCTAATATAGTAGAAGGCTTCGAATATGTTGCAATTCGTTGACGGAAAATTTCAAATCAACTTTCACACAAATTACGCAAACTGTCAACTATTTTATTTACATGTTACCTTTTTTCTTTTTCACTGAATTCTGTTTGGAATTTATAACATTGATAAGCTATTCTTCCAATAAAATTAATTACCTTGATAGATCAAGTTCTAGTCTCTCAATTAACACATTCGTGTACAAGTAAACAAGTTTATGTCAATAATAATTTTAACTAAAAGTATTGTTGGTATTCAAATTTTTTATAAAATGTATCTTTTGAATCGTTTATTTTACTTGATTAGCAATTTTGATTGTTTTAATTCTATTATAATTTTAAACAAAAAGATTTGAAAATTTATTGTGTTAAACGTTTTATATGTAATCATTTCTCGTTATTTTACCGTATTATCTTTACATTGTTTAAAGCGTAAAGGAAGATTAATACGACACTGATTTTATGGCCGCTTGTCGTAAAGAGCACACAAAATATACGCACATATTGCACGTTGTTATAACAGGACGACATGTGAACGCGTTTCTCGCTGATATCTTTCTTGTAACTCGCATTACGATGAAATACCGCGTCTTGAACAGAACATCTGATTTTATTATCGATTCGTAGGGCACGTATAAGTGTACTTTTATCGTATATACTTTTACGTATAAGTATTGGGAAAAGGAAATGCAATGGAGATACTCTGCTTTCAACATTTTTGTGACAAAGATAAATATCGTTTCGATTTAAAGTACTCCGTAAAATTATATGTTATACATGAGTGGTAAAACTTCTCTCCATAACATTTCTTGAACAAGAAAATATCTACTTCTCTCAAATTGATCAAACAACCTAGATATTTACGGAAAAAATCATTTTGTTGAAATATAAAATTACAGTTAAAAATAATTTCATTGGATCGTCAAATTATGTATAAGAAACTCAAACATTGTTTATCATGTTTGAGTTTCTTACATAATTATTTTGACCCAATAAAATTATTTTCAAATGTACCTAAATTTTTAAATTTCAATAAAATGATTCTTTCCAATAGTAATACAAAACTGTTTCGACCTTTTTTTTAACAAGTTTAAGTATTCTACGTAATTATTTTGACTGTCCAACAAAATTATTTTCAGATCTGTATTTAGCTGAATTTTTAGATATTTCAGCAAAATAATTTTTCCGTCTATAGATGCAGTACATAGATAAAGGTGATTGTTCCATGCGCGGTCCACCCTCTCACATACCTTAACTATCTGACAAACCTCCATGTGGTGCGCTTAACTCGCGAAACTGGGCGGGAGTGCATAGGTGCACCTGCGCTCTATGTATACCGCCGCTGGAACACAAAGGGCTAACTTCCTTCGACGTAATCCCCACGGAAGTTGTGCCATAAACGCGCGGCGCAACCGGAACCGAATCGATGCTCGGCGACCTCGGAACTGCCTGTGTGCCTTCGCAGACATCGCGGAGACTCCACAATGATCGCAGATGCTACGAACTAAGCCGTGGCTGCTATTCGACACGGATTGTTGGTCCCTATGGGCCGCCTGGTCGGTAGGGCCGCTCTCTGGGCTCTCTTCGTAGTGCCGGCTGGTATTTTCTGTTAGTCATCGGCAGACCGCGGAGCTAACCGGTCGACGAGGACCGCTGCGCGTATAAAAAATAAATAAGCGCTTCTCTCTCTATTTGTCATCCGATCGCGCACGAGTCATTCTCGATTTAATCGATTACGCTGAGACAGCTGATCGATTAATTTAGCTGCGAAATAAATATAAGAAAAGGAGGAAATTTCTCTCTAATGGATGATGAGAATCGGTAATGAGTTTATCGGCGTAAACACGTAGACGTCCGTGACCTATCGGGATCTACATTCTGCGACCAGAGGGTGCCGCTGACCCGGGGTGGGCCCCGAAGGGAGATCGTGAGATCTCGTACATCGTAACACAGATCGAATCGTAAATAATAGCGACCGGCACGTGATACGACACACGACTTTTCATGTAAGCGTACGATCGAGACGTAGCAGCATATCGCGCGTACATTAATAATAATCTCGTGATACGAACGACGTGAAGGAAAGGAACACGAGGAAGGAGGATAAAAAAATACCGACATTTTTCAATTATCTTATTTTTCATCGCAACAGGATCTGCTTTTCCTTTGATAAAGCATTAACTCCATTGCTCTCTTTCACAACACGGTTGTTTATCTCTGTTTATCCGTAATAGGATGGAATATATTATTGATCAAAGCGTATCTACGTATTAATTAAATTTAAAGACATTGGTGCAGCGTTGAAAAACTACAAGATTTGCGAATAGCATGATAAACTGTAGCAGCGAGCTGAATTTTTTGACGACTTTGCTGTAAGTTTGTGAATCATAAAAACCTACTTTGAAAAATTAATTATGTTCTGGCGCAGAAGTATACAATGGAGAAAACTAGGCAGCGTCTTATAACATACTATGATCGATGAGAATGCATGGAAGACTGTATGATCCGAATTTCTCAGGACGCATCGATTAAAGTTTGACGTGCCGTCGTTATGAGATGAGAAATGACGTTGTACGCTCGCATATTCGTGTAACGCAATACGATAATGTAATAAGCCTTTGATGTAATCATAATGAACGATGATAAACGATAATGACTTTATGAATATTTCATGATAGCTTACCGAAAATCGGAGCACGATTCGTGTTTGAAACAAAGTCATGCGACATTCTGTGAGAAATTGACGCAATTTAATCGATTTCCCGATGACATGGACTGTTCAAATAATTTTAATTATCATCAATATTAATGATAATTTTATTTAACCTTTACAGGACAAAAAAAATACTAGCACTGTCATATTTTGAGTCAAAAGTATAATAAAAAATAATGACTTATAACAAATGTTATTCAAAGGAAAGGATAAGATTTTAAAAATAGATCCCGTAAAGATTAATAAAGCACGATCTCTCGAAGAGTTATTTCGCCACTTGTGTACGTCGTAGAACATCAATTTGTGCACACCGTGCATTTTTCTTTAAAAGTACAATGCACGCTGCATCGCGGGAGTGAAGATCGATCGAAGAAGAAACATCTTCAACATTTTTCGCGATAACGCAAACTGCGACCTAGTCTGGGTGCGCTGACAAGGCGCGTATAAAATCGACGATAGCAAACTGGACAGCCGCCAGTCTTGCGAGAGCCGCGCACGAGAGCGGACGTCGCTCGTTTTACCGTCGATGCGGTGCCACGTGAGGGAAAAGCCAGGAGGAAAACTACGTTCGCGCGCAGCTACGAAGTAACATTTTCTTCCCGTTTCTTCCCTCTCGTTGTGGACTCATGTTATCACGTCGAATGGACAGGAATGATGTGGATTGCGCCGGAAGTGCGATAGAATTAACCAAGCGAGATCGGCTTTCGGAATACGTGGGATGTGTCTGATGGACGCGGGCATTCCATCGGATTTAATTCTATCGACACGGGAAATCGATGTGTGCACTGATTTTCTCGTGAATCTTCGATGCAGAACGAAACGAAAAAAAGAAAAAAAAATTGAAAAACCGAACGAACTGAAATTATAAAAAAGCACTATTAAAAGTTTCGACGAGTGAATCTATTTGCTGTTACTTCTATTTGTTCTTCGATGGACAGCATTATATAATAAAAAATAATTAAAAAAAATCGATATTTTATCTGCAAAGCAATGATAAATTGAGGACTTTAATAATAAAAAAAAGTTATTGTGCGGAATAATTAAACGGTTATGATTATACACTCAAATGAAATATAACAAACATTTTAATTAAACAAAAACAGACATCGTATTACAACGTGATAACAAAATGTTTTCTTCGAACGAACTATATGGTATTCGTATTCATTTGGTATTGCATTGCTGATTTCTTTTACTAGATTAATTTAATCGAGTTAATCGAGTTATTCTCATCACTTTATCGAATTGTCGCTTTTCCACAGAATTGAATTTTCAAGTAAAGGTGTTTTCAAGTAAAGCTTCAAGAGCTCGAAAGAAAAATAGAAAAGTATTTTCAAAGAAAAGAAGATTATTCGAGACATACCAATCATAATATCTTGTGAGATATTTTGTGGATATTCTTAAAACATTTCTGGCGATGACCCTGAAGATACTTCCGCGGAGGTGTGAACCATCACGAAATTCTTGAAGAGGTTGAGCGTTTAAAGTAACCACGTAGATAAAACTTCCACTACGCCTCAGATGAAACCAATTCTTTACAGGCGTTCCGGAAGGATCTTCGCAATCTCACTGCGCGCACTTACTCCACTGAAAGTTTCCCACCTCACAGCAACTCCCGTGAAAATGCGGAGAATCGCGGAAATCCTGTTCGTAAACAACTTGAAAACATCTCTCGTAAAATAAAAATTTATTTCACCGTGAAAATATAAATCGCATCAATACAAAAATATTCTCTTTGGAATTTGCTTAAAGGGAAAAATTCCGTAAATTATACAAGAAAACTATCTCAGAATCTCTGCAATAAAAGTTATCAAGAAAGTTATCTGCATCAAGTAGTAAAAGAAACATTGAGAAAATTCAGAAGCCGTGAAATTATCAGTGAAGTTTTTAAGACTCTCAAAGATAGAACTATCAGTTTTCCGATTTCCACGACCAATATACAGGTAGATTTAGTTTTTAAAAATCTGCGATCGTAAGCTCTCCGAGCTGAAAGAAGTTTCGTCATAAGGCGCGCGATGCATCGGGCACGAAGGAGTTTCGAAAAAGCAAGTGAGAAGTCCTGGGAATTTTAGGCAACGGAGAAGAAGACGGAAGCCGAAGATCACCAAGCCGAGAATCACACGAGAGCGAAGGAAAAAGAGAGGAGGGAATTGCGAATAACAGGCAGAGGCGAGGAAACGCTCCAGGAATGCCGTGGATAAAGTGTTTGGGTGGTGGAGGCGGGAAGGCCAGGAGGGGCAAGCCACTCAGCGTCAGTCAACCGATCCACCTGCTTGTCAAGGTAAGATTCCTCTTCAAAAGTTTTCCGCAAGACTTTCTCATGGTGAATCTCGTGACGAATCGAGCGAAGATTCGATATATTTGAATCATTTCTTTCGAAGAATTTTTTGGAGTGCAGTTCTTTGTGAGCCAGCTTTTTATTACGAACAACTTCTTCAAGCTTTAGGAAGAAAGAAAGAAGACGTAGATTCTCAAGATAAAAAAAAGTGCATTATATTCAAGTAATGCGCATTTTTAGCGCATTGAAAAATTAAATGAGGAGATACAATCTTGTCCATACGATATTTAATAAATAGTACAATAGTATTTGGCATAAAATATATTGAAAATTTTTATAGCATAAATATAAATTATGTTCCTAAAATTTCTAATATATGTTATTTAAAAAAAAAACTGGATAAAGACATAATGGAATTTATAAAGAGGCTGGGAATGAGGACAGTGATGTTGCTTCATTCAATCTATCTAATATGATGGCACATGGCCCTTACGTTTTATGACTATTAAATTTTCCAATGAGCAACTTGAATCAAACGGAAAAGTATCTTGATAACTGGTAATATTTTATGGATATTTAATGTGTCCATTAAATATATAAAAACGAAACTCTAATGTTCTTTTTATGTAATATGTGGAAAATTTAGCTTGCTCAATTAACTTATAAAACAATGTCTAGTATATAAGTAAGAGTATGCTCAGGTAATCGATTGCAACTAATTTAAGAAAAAAAAAAAATCTCTAAAAAATCTTTAAAAAAAATATTACAACTAATGTAAGAAAAAAAATAAAAACTTTATAATAATCCAGATAAATATAAACTCGAAATAAGAATTTTTGTTATTTGAAGTTCGCGGCTGACAGCAGTCATTCTCATAAATAAAATCGCTAGTAGAATAAAATTGATTTTCATAGTATAGATAAACGTATCATTATTAAATAAATTTTTTTAAATTATAACTTTGTACAATAAAACGAATTTGATTTAACTTTTCATTTGTGTTAATGCTGTTCTTAATGTATAGTATAACTATTCTTTCGAAAAGCAACCTAAACTTAAATTATTCCGATAACATTGCGATAAGTTGTAGTATTTGTTGTTTGTCATTAATTCATCATTCTATCACTGTCCATTTCCATTCTCATTATCACTCACTATTATCCCATATGGACTTTATCAAACCCGATAAGACTAAAATAAAAAAATCAAACGCAGCGCACGAAGACATTCATGAGCCATGTCATATCGTTAATAAGTAGTACGAGAAAATAAAAAAACTGTCTACGTTAGTCCGCGTCTACGACGGAATGTAGGAGGGTTTCCGCTTAAGGCGATGGTTATTAGGCAGTTTCGTTCGTCCCGGGATACCGTAAGATCGGGAGATACGAAATCTTTGAGATGATGGAGGGACGCCGCGGTGGTCAACATTTCTCCTCTTTGCCGACTAGCTGATTTATTAATTCTCCAGGACGGCCTTTTTCCTCGGTTCCGGGCTCCGATGGACGCCCCGTGGGTACCACCATCGATTCGACGGTATCTCGGGCACGACCCGGCAATTAAGCCGGTAATAACAAACGCGGTGTTAGCCACTTGTTAAAATTACAACAAGCTCTGAGTCATGATATTCATTGCACGCTGAAACGACTATTGCACGATATCATTGGGATATTGTTTTGCAATCGCTACGAAAGCGCGTAATACCTATATTTCCATGCACGTTTATAAATTCTGAGGAAGCGCAGCAATTACAAATTATTCGTATACAACTCATAAATATTCATTTTACTCAATTTTAATACATTTCGTATAACGAGAATTTAGACATTCCATTTAAATTAATGCCTCTATATAGTATTTTTGTGATATGAAACTCTCTTTCGTTTCAAAACCATGCATAACAATTTTAAAATTTATCGCCAATAATGTATGATTACGACGGGGGATACATCGTAAAAATTAATTGCTAATTCTGAAGGAATCCGATTTCAATAATTGTATTTGGAAATCAATTTTGCTATAGGTATATATGTTTTTGCAGAATATTATGATACTTTCATGGAAAAGAAATATTGAAATACAAAGACAATTTATTCCTAAATTAGTGTCTTCTATAAAATATTTTCGTGATGTGAAAATATTTCTCGTTTCAAAACCACACATAGCAGTTGTAAAATTTATCGCCAATAATACTAATATACTGTTATGATGGGAAAACCTAAAAATAAATTGCTAATCCCGAAGAAATTCAATTCCAATAATAAAATTAGGAAATTAATTATAATAATAATTATAATAACTGTATATGCATATATTTTTGCATAATATTGTACTATTTTATAAAAAAAAAAGGTGAAAGTCAAAATACAAAGATGACGATTTTTAAATCGGTTTTTCTGTAAAATATTTTCGTAATGTGAAACTCTCGTTTCAAAATCACGCACAACAGTTGTAAAATTTATCGGTAATATCAATGATGTATAATTATAACGGAATAAATCGTAAAAATTAATTGCTAATCCCGAAGGGATTCCAATTCCAGTAATTATATTTGGAAATCAATTTTATCGTATATATCGTTTTTCACAGAATATTGCGGTACTATTTCATGGAAAAAAAATATCGAAATACGAAGACAACATATTTCTGAGTGATGGAGTAAAATTACAATTTGGGAAGCAAAAAATTCTATCTAGGTGGCACGAGACCAGCATTCGTGCGAAGAGCTCATATTTCAAGTTTCTGGTCGCCGCATACCGTGCATCGGACAAGCTGTCCTAACAGATGTGCACACGTATACACCAAAATACAGTGTCATCAGCGATAAACGGTTGTGCTGCGATAAATATTAATCGACGATTTTGCTAATTGTATATTTCAATCGAGTTTCTTTGCGAGTGAACCTATCGAAAAAACGGGATATAACGATGAGAGACGAGTTAATTCGCGAATAAGTCATTACATGATCAATTCACGTCATTCGCTTCCGTATTTGCATATCGCTTGCAGCGGCGCCTTTACAATGAAATGTAAGGGCGTTTCACCAGTCGCAAAAATAAACGTACCGGTAATCGAGTGCTGGAGCTTCGCTCATTGCAAAATGATTGAAATTGCGTCGGTTCGTTTCAATCAATTATAGATTTGCTGATATTAATAGGAAAGGTAAAATTCAATTTCAACAAATATGCATGCAGGATTTTCCATTCAACTCGACATCACGGCTTCAATAGCGCTAATCGCGAACGGAAATATACCGAGAGTAAATTGTCGGTTGTTGCAAAAAAAAAAAAAACGACGGACGTTAAGAAGCCGGTAATCAAATAACACTAAGCCACCCGCAGAGGCACGCTACGGCATTTTCATTAAAGCAGTACTTTAAACGCGATACGATATTCCATGGAACCATGATTACAAGTTGAGCGCTATTCCTAGAGTAAAACGATATAAGTATATGAAACGCAAATTGACGATACATGTGTGTTAGTGACGCGGGAATATATATACAGTGAACATGACGCAAGCAATGAAATTTTAGATACTTATAGAAGTATTGTCTATTAACTAAATACTTTCTTCTCTCCTATAATAAAATAGAATTATTACATATTTATATTAAATCTTCTTTGTTATATTAATAATAATTAGGATATTATTTCTTGAACTTAACAATTGATTAATTATTTGATTCTCACATTTAAATTTGTAAAAAAGATGATAGTAAGAAATATAAATATTTCTACAACTACGAAATCTTTGTAAAGGGGCATAACCTTAATCCATATAAACACCCTGTAGAAGATTAGAGAATCTTGAGAGAGCAGCATTAGACCAGTCTGTGAATATATTCAGATTGTATGGGAGATACTAAAACGAGAAAATGTTTTTCCCGATGCATGCATCCGCCGGTGCTTTAAGTCTAGTCCGACCATCGTGGCTTTCCAGCGGCAGCGCGTCGGCGTTTCTGAACGTCGGCTTGTGTACCAGAGCCGTTCTCTGTTATTATAACCGTACTATTATCGGTACCGACGCTCGGCGATACACCTGCGTGCACGCGTGTATGCACGCGCGTACGAAATGTACGCCCACCGTCGTAGTGTGCGCTCCTTCACAATATAAAGACTGGCAATTAAATTAGCGGGCCCTCGGGGCACGACCGATTTTTCCATCGCCCACGCAGCGATTCGTTTCGCCATGGAAAGGTGACGTTTCCCACATGGAGGAAGATATTAGCGTTTCGGAATTTTAATCGATTTTTGTTATGCGATCCTAATCGACAATGCGATTATACGAAATTCTACCCTTACAGAAATTTAATATTAAAAGATAATTAATTAACTTATTAAGCGTGAACAACAGTGCTTTTAATATTTAAGTAAGTAATTAATCATTATCTTTCAATATTAAATTGACCAGTATTAAACCTGTAATGATGATTTACTGGTCCTTTATTATACACAATGGATCGTTTGTTTATCCCAGATTAATTTTCATCATTTTAACAAATTAAAAATTATTAAGTAATTCTTACATATTTCAACATCTTTATAAAATATAAGGTGTGTTTAAAAAAATTATATATAAATATTATAACTAATTACTTGATGTGTCTAGTTTTTCGAAAAAAAGGAAAATGCAAAACACAAATGATCTAATCGTCTGTATACTAAGAATTAAATTAGATGTTTGTAAGAGTACACTGTAAAAAGTGCAGGGTTTAAAATGTTTACGTTTAAAATATTTTTGTAAAACAAACGTACAATAATAAAAGATATTTCAATTTTAAACATTTTAAATACAGTGTTTTGTTTATTGAAAAAACTAAAACTAAAACATTTTCAAATATTTACAAAACGGAGACAAAAATAAAAAATTTTAATATCTTAAAAGTAAACACTTCTTTTATCTATATATATAAGTATATAATATTCACTTTAGTA